CAGAGTGAGATTCAGGGCAGCCAAGACTACACAGAGAAACCCTATCTTTAAAAACCAAAGTCGGGGCTGGCTCAGAGGTTAAGAGCTGCTCTTCCAGAATCCTGAGCTCAATTCCCAACAACCACATTGTGGCTCACAACCATCTGTAATGAGATCTGGTGCCCTCTTCTGGCTTGCAGGGATACATACAGACAGAACACTATATACATAATAAATATTAAAAAAAAATAAAAGAAAGAAAAGAAAAACCAAAGCTGGTGAGATGGCTCAGAGGTTAAGAGTACTGGCTGCTTTTCCAAAGGTCCTAAGTTCAATTCCAGCATCCACATACTGGCTTACATCTATTATGACATCTGGTACCCTCTTCTGGTATGCAGTTATACATGCAGGCAGAACACTGTATACATAATAAATCTTAAAAAAAAAAAGTAAGCTCTAGGATTCCATAGCCAGCATTTAGGGGCTGAAGAGCTGGCTCAGAAGAGCACTGGCTGCTCTTCCAGAAAACCCAGCTTTAATCCCCAGCACCCACATAGCAGCTCACAACTCTTTATAACTCCAGTTGTAGGGAATCTGATGCCCTCACAAAGACATATATGCAGGCAAAACACCAATGCACATAAAAATAGATCCGAGCAGTGGTGACACACGCCTTTAATCCCAGCACTTGGGCGGCAGGGGCAGGCGGGTCTCTGTGAGTTTGAAGCCAGCCTGGTCTAAAGAATTAGTTCCAGGACAGCCAGGAATACAGAGAGAAACCCTGTCTCAAAAAAAAAAAAACTAAATAAATAAAAGTTTAGAGCTAGATGGTGGCTGCACAGGCCTTTAATCTCTACATTCAAGCCAGCCTGGTCTACAGATTGAGTTCCAGGATAGTCAGGGCTACATAGAGAAACCCTGTCTCAAAAACCAAAAACGAAAAACGTTTAAGATCTGAAGGAATGACAATTCATGTAAAGAAGGCTTAATTTGGGGCTTCAGAGATAGCTAGAAGTTAAGAGCACTTGTGGCATTTGCAGAGGACTGGGTTTGGTTCCCAGTACCGTCATGATGCCGTCCTCTGACCTTGGTGGACACCTAGTGTTCATGTCGACACATTCACTTAAACGCATAGATAAACCTAAAAGGGCTTAATTACTTGCAGTGCTCACGTGTGTGTGTGTGTGTGTGTGTGTGTAGAGAGAGAGAGAGAGAGAGAGAGAGAGAGAGAGAGAGAGAGAGAGAGAGAGAGAGAGAGAGAGAGAGAGAGAGAGAGAGAGAGAGAGAGAGAGATGATATGGGGATAGAGGGACAGAGGAGCACCGTCCTGGCCAGGGTTACAGCCTGCCCTTCCTTAAGCTACCTGGGAGAGGCAAAGCTGAAAGTGAAAGAGAAGATGCCCAAAGGCGCCAGCAGCCTCTGCACTAGGGTTGAGGTGAAAGTGAAACTGGGAAGTGTCAAAAAAAAAAACCACCAAAAAACCCCACAGACGCCGAGACAGACGCCCTTCTGCTCCTCCAGGCTTCACTCTTTTCCGACCCCCGGATCTCGGTTGTTCTTCCTGCCCCCGAGATGCTGAAGCAGGCAGTGGAACACAGAGGAGGCTTCTCTTTCGAGAACTGCCAGAGGTGACAGGGGAGTGGAGCTCTGCTTTCGAGCCGCTGGTGCTCAGCTGTAGGCCTTTTTTTTCTTTTTGGTGAAAGTGGGGAACCTGATGTTGGGTGACCAAGTAGGGGGCTTAACCCAGATTAGAAAAGCAGAGGTGGTTTTGGGGACCGGTTCAGGGATCCTAACTAGAACCAAAGCTGAAACGCATTGTTTACAGGAATGCGTCCTTGGAACACGTCCTCTCGGGCCTTCGGGTCCCTCATGCACGCAAAACCGGGACTACCATCGCGGGACTTGTGTTCCGAGTGAGCAGGGTGATAGGGCCGGAGGGCTAGAATGGCATCAAGGAGGAGAACATCGGGTGGGCATTAAGGCCGGCTCTTCCTCTGCAGGATGGAGTTATCTTGGGCGCCGATACGCGGGCCACTAACGATTCGGTCGTGGTGGACAAAAGCTGCGAGAAGATCCACTTCATCGCCCCCAAAATCTAGTAAGAACTCCCCAGCCCAGTCCCCACTGTCACTCACGCCCTACTCTGTCCCTGCCCACACCCACCCTCCCTTGCCCTCAGCTGCTGCGGGGCTGGAGTAGCTGCGGACACTGAGATGACCACGCGGATGGCAGCCTCCAAGATGGAGCTACACGCGCTGTCCACCGGCCGTGAGCCTCGGGTGGCCACGGTCACCCGCATCCTGCGTCAGACACTCTTCCGGTGAGGAAGTGGGTGAAGATGACCCCTAGAAGGGTTATCTGCAGGTAGGCGGGGTTGACAGGAGCGCGAGACCGAAGGCCGGGCAGCTACCTCAGAGAGACCGGAAGAAGCCAGGCCGGGCTAACCAAAGCTGAGTTCCGGAAGAAGCGATTGTAGGACGCCAGGTCACAGGAAGGGGTGGGACTCAGACAGAAAGGCAGCATATGGGGCGGGGCCTGGCTCCAGCTGGCAACCTCAGGGCGCACTGGTCCACAGGTACCAAGGCCACGTGGGGGCGTCGCTGATCGTGGGCGGGGTGGATCTGACCGGGCCTCAACTCTACGGCGTGCACCCCCACGGTTCCTACAGCCGTCTGCCCTTTACGGCCCTGGGTGAGTGCTTCCACCCTTTGCCCACGAATCCTTCCCCTGCCATCCTGCCTTCAAGGTTTGTTTCCCAGATGCAGCTACAGCTGACTTCAGATGTCCCTTTCTACCTGCAGGCTCTGGACAGGATGCAGCCTTGGCGCTGCTGGAGGACAGATTCCAGCCAAACATGACGGTGAGCAACCTCAGCCCATTACTTCATGCTCACAAGTGGGGAGCGCGCCCCCCCCAAAGAAAAAAAACTCTGGCCAAATATAGAAATAAGGAAGGCTTGTCGGGAAGAAGGTAACAGCTGAGTAGGGACTGACTGAATAATGTTGAAGGCCCAGTCGGGAATCTAGGTTAGATCACTAAGAGGAGTTGAAGCCCACAAAGGGTCACTAACTAATGGAGAGGGAATTCTGTGTGAGGTTTCAGGTCTGGACTTTGGAGTGGGATAGAAACAGGTAACTATTGTGCTTCAGAGATAACTGAGGCCCAGAGAGAAACTCGGTGGCAGAGGACTAGATTGGCGGGAGGGACGACTGCGGGAAGGGGCGTTGTAAGTGTAAGGGACACTGAGAAGTTTGTACAGAGGACAGTGGGTGGCGGGAACACAGGGTTTTGGGAGAGAGGGAGCCAGAAGCTAAGGGACTGCCATTTGGAATGGAGGGAAGAAAAGAGGTTACGAATTGTCTAGGCTTCGAGATTAACCAACTCCTCAGGTTAGGCAACACCAGGTTCATTTGGTCTCATTCCCACTACCACAGCTGGAGGCTGCACAAGAGCTGTTGGTGGAGGCCATCACTGCAGGGATCCTGGGTGACCTGGGCTCTGGAGGCAGTGTGGATGCTTGTGTGATCACTGCAACAGGCACCAGGCTGCTGAGGACACTGAGTTCTCCCACGAAGCCAGTGCAGAGGTAGGACTCTAGGGGGGACTCTAGGGGGACTGCAGTCTTAGCGGGGTGGCAAACGGGAGGTCTTCCAGAACAGGACAGGATGCATGCTGAAAGCCTGGCCCTCTGCCCTTCTAGAACTGGCCGTTACCACTTTGCTCCTGGAACCACAGCTGTCCTGACCCAGGAAGTAAGACCCTTGAACCTGGAGCTTCTGGAGGAAACGGTGCAGACCATGGAGGTGGAATAAAGTGGCCTAAGACTTAGAGCTTGGTACAAGGGGGAATAAACCCCGGAAATACAAACATTTAAACAGAAGACTGTCATTCTTTTCTTTTAGGTTTATTTATTATATCCCTACAGGCTAGAAAAGGACACCAGACCTCATTACAGATGGTTGTGAGGCACCATGTGGTTGCTGGGAATTGAACTCAGGACCTCTGGAAGAGCAGCCAGTGCTCTTAACCTCTGAGCCATCTCTCCAGCCCTTGACTGTGTCATTCTTGAGAGGAGTGGGATAAGCAGCCGTAGGAGCTTTGTGGCTGAGGTATCTAAGGACCCTGAGCTCTGGTTCCTGGCCTGCTCTTCATCATTCTCTCAGGGATCTGTCCATTCAGAATCCCAGGCCAGGTCAGCAGGCTTTGGGATAGAAAGCTACATCCTGTTATCCCCAAACCTTACCCCACCAATCCCCCCCTCTTGTAAGATCCATGGACAGTCCCTACTCATAGCCTTCCCCTGGCTTATCAGTGACCCCCATTGCCACCAGATCCACCCTGGGTCCTAAGGGGCTAAATGCTGATGGAGCAACTAAGGGCAAGTTCTCACCAAGCACCCCTCACCCATGCACAGTGCCTCTACCTTGACACGCTCAAATGACCAGGCTTGTGTGAGCCACTGGTGAACAGTGGGGCCTGGACTGCACATGTGGGGCTGTGAGTAGGGAGACTGACTCCAAGTTCTCTGGGCTGATAGGGGTCATGGACTCATGGGAAAAACGACACATTTAACAACAAACCTTTGCTAAGCACCGGTTGAGTGCCAGGCCCACTGGGTGCTGGTGGGAACATCCTGCTCTCAGAGGAGCTAAGCTCCACTGGGCCTTCAGGATGGATAAGCCACATTCTCTAGAGAGGTTCTCCATGCTGGACATCCTTGGCCCCCGACTGTTCCCTAACATTTTATATTGAAAAATTTATATACAATAGTAAAGTTAAGGGAATTGTTCACTAAACATCCATATGTCCACCAGACTATAATTCACATTTTGTTGTATTTGATGTTATGTCTATCCATTCCTTATTCACCCATTCACTCCTTTCGCTTTTTAGACTGAGGCATTATTTTTTTTAATATTTTTTAAAATTGGCTAGGTGGTGGTGGCACACACCTTTAATCGCAGCCCTTGGGAGACAAAGGCATTGGATCTCAGTGAGTTCAAGGCCAGCCTGGTCTATAAAGTGAGCTCCAGGACAGCCAGGACTGTTACACAGAGAAACCCTCTCACAAAACAAGATATATATATATTTTTTTTAAAAAATATTTATTTTACATCCCAACTGCCGTTTCCACTCCCTCACCTCCCAGCCCCTTCTCTACTGAGGTATTCTTGAGCCAGTTAAAGCCTTTGATATCCTAGAAAAAGTCAAGCCAACTCACCTGTTCAACTCCGCACACAGAAACACCTTCTCTCCACTGGCTAAGCTCAGCCTAGAGCTCAGTAACACATGCACTGTGGACAGATTTGCCCATGGCAATCTGAGGTCTAGAAACAGATTTCATGGCTTTATTCTTGTACTTCCAGCTTCAGTCCAGAGTGTCTCAGTCACTGAGGGCTCACTCATACTTACAGAAATGTAGGTCTTAGAGCCAAACATGAGGATTTGGGTCCCATCCTTCCTCATGCTGGTGAGTCAGCATCTCTGAGCAAACCTCTGACTCCTGTTCCATGCTGATGAGAAATGATGTCTTTTAGGATTCAGAACCACCATCCGGGGCCTTCTCAGCAGAGCTGGCCACATCTGACCATTCTTTCCACCAATCCTCATGCCCCTATGTTCTAAGCAGGCTTTTCTGGGAGTCCAGTACTCCTGATAGCCCTGGGAAACTTCATAGGTCCCAACCACCAGGTTAATACTTTAGACCTAGTTAAGCCATATGTCCATGGTACCCAGTGAGCAACACTTGAGATAGGAGGTGGTTCAGAAAGCCAATAGGAAGCCAAAGCTTGGGGAGCCACCTCCCCAAGGTGAGAGCCTCACACCTGGCTACTTGATAATTCCAAGGACTTTGGCCAAAGACCTCTCCTGGGTAGGTGTGGGAGTGTACAAAGACCACACAGCTGGCCTCCTCAAGCCCAAGACTTCTGCCCAAGGACAAGGATACACATAAATAAAGCCAGGCAGGTCTCAACCTCATTCATTATCTTCCACAATGTTACTGCTCAGCCTAACCCTCAGCCTGGTCCTCCTTGGCTCCTCCTGGGGTAAGTGGGCTGAAACCAACCCTGACTGAACAACCTAGTACAACTTAGCTCCCAGCTCCTGTTCAGGAGCCCAGAGAAGGAGCCAGCCTGGTTAGAAGGGAAATGGACAGTGCAGGCAAAAAAAAAAAAAAAAAAAACTTTTGTGCTGGGAATGAGAGAAGAGCCAAGGGCCAGTCTCCCAAATGAGACAAGAGCTTGAGTCAGACCTGAGAAGACTCAATGTGTATAGTCTATACAAAGCAGACTTTAATTGCTCAGGCCTAGAAGAATAGAGGGCCACGAAGATGACCCCAGCAGTCAGGGAGAAAAGTGGCCTGAAGAACATTAGGACTAGGTAGGTTGGAGTGATGCTGTGATGCTGTGGCATTTGAAGGCTGTAGGATGGGGTAACCAAGATAGACGGAGATACCCATGAGAAGGGCCAGAGTAACCCTCCTGATCTGCATCCCTCTGGAGTATACAGCTTGGGGGCACCTCAAGGAAGAGTGCAGGGAGAGGTAGTCTGGGATGTGGTCCTTACCAGCCCTGTGTTCAGGCTGTGGCGTTCCTGCCATCACACCTGCATTGAGCTCCAGCCAGAGGATTGTCAATGGGGAGAACGCAGTGCCAGGCTCCTGGCCCTGGCAGGTGTCTCTGCAGGTACACACTCCAGGGGTGGGCCAGGGTCCTGCATGCCACATGCCCATGGATAACTTAAGCCCATTCACATATATCTGACTTTTGACCCAAGGAAAGCAACGGCTACCATTTCTGTGGTGGTTCTCTCATCAGCCCAAACTGGGTAGTCACTGCAACCCACTGCCAAGTCACGTGAGTGTAATCTACCTGCCCCGCGCAGTCCATCTCTTCCCACTTCCTTCCCTTGGATCCCCCTCTGTGACTCCCTAGCAGCTACCCACTCCCATTATCCTTGCAGTCCTGGACGACACTTTGTTGTTTTGGGAGAATATGACCGATCTTCCAATGCTGAGCCTGTGCAAGTGCTATCCATCTCGAAGGTAAGGACCTGGCTGCACAGGCAGAAAGGAAAAATGGGCTTCAGGTGGCTTGCCCTGACCTACCCCCCTCCCCTCAGCACCACCCTGGGTACCTGCACCTGCTCCAGCTCTCCATGGCTCTCTCCTGGCTCCATAGGTCATTTCATACCCTAACTGGAACCCCACCAATTTGAACAATGATGTGACACTCCTGAAGCTCGCCTCACCCGCCCGGTACACGTCACGAATCTCACCAGTCTGCCTGGCTTCCTCGAATGAGGCACTGCCTGCAGGCCTCACATGTGTCACCACTGGCTGGGGCCGCACCAGTGGTGTGGGTAAGAACTTGGGTAAGAGTGAGGGGAGACCAGAATCAGCCCCCTGGGCTAGCCTGACCACCTTTCCTGGCCCGCAGGTAACGTGACACCAGCCCGTCTGCAGCAAGTAGTTCTACCCTTGGTCACTGTGAATCAGTGTCGGCAGTATTGGGGTTCAGCTATTACTGATTCCATGATCTGTGCAGGTGCCTCAGGTGCCTCTTCCTGTCAGGTAAGCATAATTACCCTGTCCTCTGCACTGTCTCATGGCATACTCCCCCAAACTGCCATACCAACTTTTCCCTTTTTGCTCTCTTTCAGGGTGACTCAGGAGGTCCTCTTGTCTGCCAGAAAGGAAATACCTGGGTGCTTATTGGTATTGTCTCCTGGGGCACTACGAACTGCAATGTGCAAGCACCAGCCGTATACGCTCGGGTTAGCAAGTTCAACACCTGGATCAACCAGGTCATGGCCAACAACTAAACTGTCCCTGTCTCAATCCAATAAAGACACCAGGCTCCATTCTCTTCTGTACCTTTGTCTTCCATCCTGGCTTAGTGGAAAGGAGAGGCTCTCGGGAGCTCTACCACTGATCTGGGCTTTGTCATCCCAGGCTACTCCTCTTTTGAACAATCCATTAATCCCACGGCACAGTCAGGGTAGCCAGAAAAAAATGGCAGCCTTCCTGGGGGAGGGCGCCTGTTTATTGGATACAGAAGATACATTTACAGAGTACACAAAATAAATAACTGCACATTCTCCATCCATGGTCCATGGCATGAAGGCCTGGTGGACCTATCAAAGGCCCAAGGCACAAACTCCCTCTGCCCTATCCTCACAACCAGACATATTTTGGGCAAGAAAGAAAAGAAATCCCCAGTGGTTCACACCCCCAGAGATTCCTGGGGAACTAGTGGGGGGGAAGGATTCCGAGGCTGTGAGGCTCAGGTCCTCCACTGCCTCCTATCCAGGGGCAGGAGGATGTAAGGAGAGGGTCTAGAAGGCACAGCTGACTTGGCACAGAGTGGTCTCTTTGGTTTCCCAATGGAGGTGGCATATGTAGAAAGAGGGCCTAGCCCAAGGCTGCCTACTGAGAGGAGCTGAGTGGAAATCAAGACCTCTTGCTGACAGAGGCTCTTAGTCTAGCTAAGGCCCAAGCAAGGCTCTGTCTGGCCCCTTCCCCCCCCACCACTGAGAGCAGCTACAGAGGGAGGGGGCTTGGATTCCAGCCTAATGTGGTGGTGGTAGGGAGACCATGACAACTATAGGAACTGCTGTGGCTCAGTTCTCTGGGAGAGCAGCCCCTGAAACCCTACCCTACCTCCCAGAAGAGCTCCCTCCAGCCTGACTCAGTGGGGTTAACCTGGAAAGTTAATGCTATGAAAAGAAGGGCACAGGGCAGACAGGGCAGGGCCAGCACCCAAGGCACCCGGGGTTCAGAGGCAGGTAACACAGTACGGCTAAGTTCCAGGGTGAGGTTTGAAGAAGCTGAGCAGAAGGGGAGTTGAGCAGCCCAGGACTCTCCCCCAGTTCAGCAACTCCTTTCTTTCCTCCTCCTTTTGGAGGGCTGTGGTTTGCAAGGGTGTACACCAGTCACCACCCCTCCCCCGGCCACCTATACCCAGACCAGACACTAGATGGTGCCGTCGTGGAGCTATAAAGAGGGCATGGTAGCTTTAGAAAAGGAACCAGCAAAGGACAATACCAAAGGATAGAACGAGGGTTGACAAATGGAATTCTCAGGAGAACCCTCTTCAGGAACATCCATCCCCCAGGTAGCAGCAGCGGATCTCCCTTTAACCTCTCACGGTTGGAAAGGAGGCAGCTGGGGAATGAAATGGACATCCAAGTAGGAGAGGGAGACAATACTGGGCTCTGCAAAGGCACAGATGGCGACAGGCAGATCTCTCTCATAGACAGACTGAGTCTAAGTCCTGCCACAGTCCGACCACCAGGGGTCCTGGCAAGTCTGGGGGCTAGAAGGGGTCCCTGATGGCACCATGAAGAAAGACTGCTCTTGGCTAGGGAAAATGGTGGGGTTGCTTGGATCTGACTGGGCCTAAGGGACCAACCAGACACCTGGGGCTTGCAATCTAAAGTAGGACCTCCCACTGGAGCATAATCTTAAGGGTCAGCATGACATAGGATGGGAGCTAGACCAATGCTCTGTGGAGGAAAGGGAGGCTATAAAAGTAATGGATTCAGAGAGTCCTGAGCCATAGGACCCTTTCTTCTTCTTCTTCTTTTTTTTTTTTTTTTTTTTTTGGTTTTTCGAGACAGGGTTTCTCTGTGGCTTTGGAGGCTGTCCTGGAACTCACTTGGTAGTCCAGGCTGGTCGCTGGTCTCGAACTCACAGGGATCCGCCTGCCTCTGCCTCCCGAGTGCTGGGATTAAAGGCGTGCGCCACCAACGCCCGGCTCATAGGACCCTTTCTACTCAACACTACAGACCCCTCTGATCCAAGAAAGAGGCAAACATTAAGGACATCAATGGGGACTGGGTCCTGCCCTTTCTTCTAACTCAAGAGCAGCTGCCTACCAGGCTCCCAGTTTAGACGATCCTGGGCCACCATGCCATCATAACAGGCCCGGGCCCATGATAGGAGGTAGGGACTAGTAACGGCACAGAGAAGAGGTGGGTCCAGACATGCTCTGGCCATGATGCCAACATACAGAGAAGATATTAGGCCCAGGTGACAAAGCAGAGAGTGGCCAGGATGAGATAACAGTGTGTCCATGTCATAGCTGGTGGCTCAACCATTATACTGCTGCTGATAGCGTAGGTTGAGCTCCCGCAATTCCCGCTCCCGAACACGGCGTGACTTGTTGGAGCGCGTAGAGCGGCTGGAACGTGTGGACTGTGAAGATTTGGTACTTTGGCAACGAGAGGAAGCACGCTTGAGGAGATTCTGGGAGATGGATCGGTGCAGATTCTTCATGGAAGAAGAGGCTGCCATGCTTACCACCCATGGGTGTCTCAGGGCCTGCAGTGCAGTCATCCGGGCTCCAGGGTCCACTGTCAGCAGGCGGTCAATGAAGTCCTTGGCCAGATTAGATACACTAGGCCAGGGCTAGAAGCCAAAGAAAAGCATTTGTGTGAGTGGACTCAGCACTGCCCCCCCATCTGGATGACTCCACCATAACACTAGGATCTACCCAGTATTTGTGCAGTCTAGAGAGGCAGCACTCCTCCTCTCGTGCAGTATGCTAGAACTTACTCTTCCACTCAATGCTGACTCAGTTACTAAGCAGGCGCTGCTTGGTGATGAGTCTTAGAAAGGATCCGTCATCTACCTTGGGGAGCAGTTTTAAGTGCTCTACCCCCAAAGCCTGACTAAAGGAGGTGGGCCCTGCCAAGACCCCTAGCCTCCCTATGGAGATTTTAAAAAGACAAAAACAAAAACAACAGGGTTTCTCTGTATAGCCCTGGCTGACAACCCTGGCTGTCCTGGAACTAAATATGTAGACCAGGCTGGCCTGTAACTCACCAGGATCTACCTGTCTCTTCTTCCTGAGTGCTGGGATTAAAGGCATGTGCCACCACATCTGGCTGGGAGATTTTTTTCCAACATTTATTTTATATGTGTGTGCGGGTACCCATGGAGGACAGATGGATCTGGAGTCTCAGGCATATGTGAGGCTTCTGTGGGTCCTTTGCAAGGACAGTTCTTACCTGTTGAGCCATCTCTCCAGTTCTCCTAGATTTTTGAAGAAAGTGATCCAAATTTTTCTCACCATGTCTAAGCTCCAACAACTATCTGTGTGGCCAGGTCGAGTAGATGGGAATATCACAATCCTTACTGACTTCCAAGGAATTCCCCCTCAGCCTCCAGGTACCAAGAGAAAAAAACATTTAATGAATCTATACTTCTCGGTTTGGTGACAGTACAGGAACTTCTGGGGACAGATAAAGAGGCTCTGTCCAGTTTGTATGACTTCTTTGAGCCACAAAAGTTCCTGTAATTAGCCAGGTAGAGTGAGTGGTGCATGCCTTTAATCTCAGCATTTGGGAGCCAGAGGCTGGCAGATGCCTTTGAGTTTTAGGCCAGTGTGTCTTGCACAGTGAGACCCTATCTCAAAACAAAAAGACAATTCCTATAAGTATGATATGCCAACTTCCTTCTAATACATTTCTATCCCTGCAGAGATTTCCTTAAACCCTGTTCTGCTTCAGGTGACCAGACCTGTCTTGTTTTAGTCACTCACCAAGCAGCTGTCAATCCCTGGATCTCAGCCTCCCTAGCTTGTCTTTACTTGGATGAACTTAAATTCTTAGGATAAAGGGCATTTCCTTAGATGCTCTCCTAGTCCCCACTGCTTACAATTACTCTAGTCTGTGAGCTCCAAGCTGATTACTCCCCTTACATGGTATTGAGTCCTAGTTGTGTAGCAGACACAGGAGGTACTCAGTAGGTACAGGTGTAGTGATTAACCACCAGTGGGTGCTGTCGAATGGGTATCCTTTGTGGAAGCTGCTGCAGCCATGGAACTCAGCCTGGTGGGGCTAAGTGCTGTGGATCCTTAAGCTGACCTGCCAGAGGACAGGTTCTGGGGTCCTGAATTTCCTGAGAGAACTAGAAAGGGCTCTGATGTTCCTTAAAGGCTAGGCAAACAGGTATTCCCTGTTCTGCCATACAGGCTCTACTATGATGCCGGGGCACCATTGCTTTCTTTACTGCTAGGTGAAGGCTGTCTGTCCTACTCCATGGCACCTTCGCCTTGGGGAGCCTCTCAGTGTGCTCTCCAGGCAATCGGGCACACCTGACAAGAATCCACATGGTCAGTTAACAAAGACACACACCTGCTGATTCACATGGCCCTAGCAAGGCTCCCTTGACCTCTTGTGACACAACTTCCTAACTTCTAGATAGAAGTGATGCAGAGAGAAGACTCATCTGGATTCCTAAGGAAGAGGTAGGCAGTTTTCTTGCAGTCACTGTCCTCACTTGTTTGTTAGAAAGCAAATCTTTCTGGGCAGTGATGGTACACACCTTTAATCCTAGCACTCAGGAGACAGAAGCAGGCAGATCTCTGTGAGTTTGAGGCTGCCTCACAGAGTGAGTTCCAGAACAGCCAGGACTACACAGAGAAACCAAACCCTGTGCCAAAAAAGGAAGGGAGGGAGGAGAGGAAGAAAGAGAGAGGAAGGAAGAAGGAAGATAGAGAGAAAGGAAAGAAGGATAGACACCCATTTACATAAAGTTTTTTTTCTTTAAAGAAAGCCCTGTGGATTGCTGCTACCACCTGAGCAGAAGCCTTTGCCTCTCATGAGATGGAAGCAGCGGGCATATCAGAGCATCTGAAGAACACAGTAAGTCTAGAGCCAAACATAGCAGATCAGAATACCTGCGCTGTGTTGCCCTGTTAGGTTTCTCTGGTAACTAGGAAAGATATTGCAGCCCAGCCTGACTTGATGGAAGAATGGCTCCAAGGTGACCCAGGGTACTCTGAACAGAGCTGAACAAGTCTGAGTCTGTCCCTTACTCCATTCTGAATAGAAGAAGCAAGTCCTAAGCCAGGCATTTTGGTACACACATAAGATCCCAGAATTTAGCCAGGCAGTGGTGGTACACACCTTCAATCCCAGCACTTGGGCAGAGGCAGGTGGATCTCTGAGTTTGAGGGCAGCCTAGTCTACAAAGTGAATTCCAGGACAGTCAGAGCTACACAGAGAACCCCTGACTTGAAAACAACAACAACAACAACAACAACAATAATAATAATAATAATAATGATGATGGTAATTCCAGTACTTGGCAGGAGGATCAGGAGTTCAAAGTCACCCTCCTCCAAACAAGAGTAGCAGTTTCTCTGCAGACGGTGGAACAGTGGTAAAGCTGGATTCTCAAACTAGAAGTCTAAACAAGGATGAATCGAAGGCTTTCTCACATCAGACCCTCACCCAGTTAAAGCATGGAGTCCTGCAGCTTGCAACCACTCTGAATCTGTCTTAGGGCCTCTCACCAGACCTGCACAGTGATCCTAAACATCTCCATCTCCAGAGCAGCACAGGCACACACCAGGCACCAACCCCTGCTGCCTGTCAGGCGCTCAGCCTGTTAGTGCCAAAGCGAGCCAGATTGATCCACCCTTCCTACTCCCCCAGACTCTCGCCTCATCAATTACTGTGTTCGTGCCACTGTGTGCAGAATGCCAATGGACTCATTTGTCTAAGGGCCAGCTCTCTGGAAAGCCCCCAACACTCCCCATCTTTGAAGAGCTGGGAGCAGCTATGCTGGTAGTGGTCCCCAAGCCAATGTGACTTGAGTCATACTAACTGATGTTTCTCAGTCTAACCTTTGTGTATTAGAAAAAACTGCAGTAGGAAGTCAAGCAGGCTGAACACAGGAAAGTGGTCCTCATCCAGCTTGCAGACAGTGAGGCAGGGGTTAACCTCCAGTTGAGTGACCTCTGAAAGGTTTCCCTAGACCTCCCACATGGCTCAGAAATGTAAGGTCTCCTATATCTTCAATAGCCCCACTTCTGGACTCCTTCTAATCCAGCACCTCCCAAGTAAGTGGTCATTACCTCAAGCCCATCCCACCTGCCAGCTATGACTAACTGGTCAGGAGGCATTCTGGACATGAGAAAAAGAAAAACGATTAAACAGCCTCACGCTTCAACTTCCAAAGTTCTGACAGCTTCCTCTGGCTAAAGGACAGAACTCTGACCTCAGTATATATCCTTATGGTCAGACAGGGACATTCGTGGGTCTCAGGTGGCTGACAGATAGGACAGGTCTCAAGCAGCAGCTGTTAGTCTGCTACCTTGGTTTCTACCTGCATCTAGACAGATATGACACAGGAGGGGTGAAGGCTAGCAGTAGAGGTCAGTTAGCTCTGCCAGCCACACTCTCCATGAGTCTCTGGACACTGCCTGGGTGGAGCTGGGCTCTGGGCTGAGGCTGTGGGAGGAAGGTAATCATCGTTACTCTGCGTCTGACCAACAATCGGACTGCCCTTTTCCCTAGTACACAGACTCCCAAAGATCTTGTTCCCTTGCAGCTAAAGTACCTATTCTTGAGGTTGTAACAGCAGAGGAGACAACTGCAGAGAGTGGGAGGGACCACTCCCTAAGCATCCCCTCACTAATTTCCCCTCATTATCTCCTACTTTTCTCCTGGGCAAAGCCATTCCTCTGTGGACTCCAACTGTCTCCTACAGGTAGAGGCACCAATATGGAAAGGCATTGTGTTCCAGCTCAGAAGAACTTGTCTTCTCCCTTTTCTCTCTGCCCCTTCTACTTGAGTGGCAAGGTATGGCAAGAGCATTTCCCAAGGCTACGACATAGTCTCACTCTGAGCCTGAGCTAAGGGAATGAGGTCGGAGGCACCTGCCCAGCCTAGGTTGCATAGGGATGAGGCAGCTGCTTCCTGCAGGCAGCAAACTGTTCACCTGCTGCCTCAGACTTCGTCTAGGCAGAAGGCTAACCACTCTCAAGTGAGACTACGAGAGAATAAGTAGCCCAGGTCTCTTCTGGATGGCATCGGGGTGGAAGGTTAAGTGTCAGGCTACAAGCCCGGTGTCCAATTCTACTTCTTTGTATGACCTAACAGAACTCACAGTCTCCCCGCTTTCGACACGGAGAGACTGAACACAACATAATTCTAAGTCTCTCCCGATTTTCAAAGTTCTGGATTTTAAGAACATGGCATCCCACTCTTTTCACTCCCTGGCTGCATGTGAGGCACAGATGTGCTACTTTAGCAGACCTCCTGATCCTGAGGGTCCTTATACAGCCCAGAACTTTGGGATAAGAAGGTAGTTCCGCTGCATAGCAGCCGCGTTGGGGGTTGGGGACAAAGCTGGGCTTGCTACCATGACTCAGTCCTTCCTTCAGCTTTATCTCAAGATGTATTTTTATATTTTCAGACCCAGTATTCCCACCCTCAAAGGCCTCCTTTCTGTACTTTACGTGGGCCTGAATCAAAGCGGAGAAAAGGGCACAGAAGAAATTCTGGGAAACAGCTTTGGGTTTACTCAGGAGAGCAGAACTCTCATTATAACAATGAGGACAACACACTCAGAAGCTGCTTCCAAGGTTATGGTTTCTGAAAAATGTAGCAAGTTTG